CCCTGTTACTATACTACATCAGCAACTGGAAGAATTCATTTCTTTGCTACAGAATCATATTTTCAATTTAATTTAAAAAATTGAACTTTAGCTTGTATTTTTCAAGATCAGCCTGATATTTACCAGGTATTTGATAGAGAAATTTGTTTAGTTAATGTAAGTAGTGCATAAAAAGCTGCACAAAATCTTTAAAATACAAAGCATAGTTAATCTAGAAAATGAGTCATGTTGCATAATTAGAAAAGTGACTTAAAAAGTAGACTTGCAAAAAAAAAAAGTAGACTTGCATCACAAAGATGTTATTAAATTTTTGAAGGCCCAGACTATATATAAGTATTGCACTTTTGGTTTATGCCACTGGGTGGTAGTATTATTATAGCTTCATTTATGTAAATGCAAACTTTCTAATCTTAGGAACTTCTTCATACTCTTAAAACTTAATGAGGATTCCAAGGAATTTTTACATATATCCGTTACATGTACTGATATTTATTAGAAATTAAAACTAAGATTTTTATAAATGTTTAGTTTATTTTAAAATAACAATTATAAATCTATTACATATTAGTATGAATACTTTTTATTAAAAATTACCTATATTTTCCTAGACACAATGTGTGTGTAAAAAGTAGCCTTATTTGACTTAGTGGAAGGCAGACTTTTTCATGCCTGTTTCTGCATTTAATCTGTTGTGATATTGCTTAAAACACGAGAACAGTGTGTGCTCTCATGAAGAAGTACATTTGGAAAATGGAGGACCTCACTGACACTCCGGAAAGGTCTCAAGACCCTTAAAGTCTTTGGGACATATTTTGAAACCTTCTGCTTGTAGACTTTTGCTTTTATTCACAAAAGAAGCTTGTGATGTTTGGGTGGGAATTCTAGAAATTACAATTATTTTTGTGGACTTTTATGTTAAATTGCATTTCATTCATTTTTGTAGCAACTACCTATGCTTTAAATTTAATAGTACATGCATTTTAGCAGCTACTATGTTGGGAAAGAGACATAAGCACTGGCTTGCATATTCATTTTTCATATTATTACTCAGTTTCTATTTTTCCACATTTCTGCCTCTTTGCTTATTCTCTGCAGTGGACTAGAGAGGATCTTTATTATCTTTATAGTAAAATGCAACAAAACAAAATAAAAATGCTACCTGTAATCTCAGAATTCTGGCATTTGCTATTATGGTTGGTAAGGACATGAAGTTTGGGGAAGGGAAAAGGTCATGAAATAGCAAAAGCAAATGCCATATTCTTCCTGTCTTTGCCTAAAGCTTAGTTCTTTTATTTCCCTTGCTTTCATACTACTTTAACTGTCTTTTGTGAAATACTTTATTCTTTATTCATCCAATGCTGTTAAGTGGCAAACATCCAGTACATTTATGATGAATGAATGCTTGGAATGTTGGACTGTAGATTGCCATCCTTTCACATTTAACTCTTAGAGTGTGAATTTGTCCATTTTTATAATTCCCATGGGTGTGAATGAACTTTTTCTTGAAGTGGCAAGTGAGGAACTAACAATAAAAGGCCTGACCAACCCTGCTTTACTTCCCTGATAGAGGACCATACTTAAGGGTCACTACATTTTCCTAGAAATATTTTCAGTGTCTTTTTTTTTAAAAAAACAAAAATTGCCTGAGATACATTGAATTTCGCTTTGGAAGAACACAGTATGTTCTTGCAACATTTGGCGGCAGTGCTGCTTAGCCTTCTTGTTGATGTGTGCTGTGACCGTAGTTTTCCTGCTCACTCTTGCATGTTGGCAGAAGCAGAAGACTTTTGTCAGCTGTGGTTGATGCACGATTTCTTTCTCTCCATTCATTTATCCTTTGTTGGTAATTAGAAGATAAATTATGTAGATGCTTAGATCGTACTTCTTTAGTACTATACTAATCCTAGCATAGTTTCATATTGGAAAAAGTGGGGAATTTACTTTGAGAATATTAATTACATCATGTAGTAAATGGACTACATGTGGTGGTTACAGACTTCCTGGCTATTTAGTAAACTCAGTATACCCTCCTTCAGTATTGAAATGGATGGGAATCATGGTGGAGGCTGGCTTCCTGTAAGGAAGTGGCTTCATCTGTAGATACAGTGTAGAATCCAAAATGGTGTTCTCTATATGGCCAAAGCACTTGTTTTACCACCTTGGTGTGTGTGTGGGGGCAGGAGGGGGGGGGCTAAGGGATGCGGTACCTAACATTTTCATAAAGCATGATGGAGATGGAAAGCAGAGACTTTTTGTATGTTTGTCAGAGATATAATTTACTATATTAGATTGAAAGTTAAAAGCTATCCGTAATTATTAGGTTCAGAAATTCTGGCATAGTAAGATATATTATTGATCAGCTGAGCTTGGTCTTGTGTCAGCATTCTTGTTAAGAATAATACAAAGTAAGGGTTATTCCTTAAATCCAATTTTAAAGTTCTACCATCAAGTCTGTATTTCCAATTTGGCTTCTCATTGAGTGCAAAGACTAATTTAGTGGAGTTAACTCAGTTAATGGAGTTGAACGATGTTGAATTATAAGTATCAAAGGTTTCCTTTTAGGTATATAATAATAATATTGTTCTCTGACATTGTGGCAGAAAATGAGGGAGGAGATTAAATTTAGATTTAAAAAACTTGAGAACCAGATCCTAATTTACATGATAGATAATCAAGTGACCTAGCAAAATTATTTCAGTGGATTAAATACTAACATTAGTACAGAATATAGTATAATATTCTAAAATTTACTGAATGTGATTAGAAAGTTACATTTTTAGAAAATTTCTTCTGAATACAAAATTTGTACCATGTACATTTTGTTTGAAAAAATGAGCATACTATATCTAATTTACTACTATATTAGATTCTAGAATTTGAAAAATGAAGACAGGGACCATTCACTTGGTATTGCCTACATACAATTTTATTTTGCTTAATTTTGCTTTTTACTTTAAACTGTTTTGTTGGAAGAACATAAAAATTACCTCCATGGTCTCCATACATGTTCTCATTTGTATATAGATTTAAGATTTTTTTTTGTGATGTGCTTAGATGTAATTTTACATGGTGAATAATAGCAGTAAAGAAAAGATGCTAATGTCATCCAAGCATTAAAAAATGTCCATTTCTCAAAAAAAAAAAAAAATGTCCATTTCTCTTTCCATTTTCCTATCCCAGATTTAAGCTTGCAGCATAAAGAAAGCAGTAACCTCTCTGTTATAGGCTTTGTTCCCATAACTGATTACTTTACTTGATTGCTCTTTAAGAAGTCAGGGAACTGATTTTTTTGTTAGTAGCAAGAAATGCTTCTTTATGCTAGAATTTATAGTAAAAAAAAAAAGACATATAGCATTTTGCTTTAAATATTTTATTTTCCAACAAATTTATTTCTGAGTAGTATTATCTTGGTGTCTGCAGGCAAATGGCAGTAAATTAGAGTAGGAATCTTTAAAAATAATTTCAGCTAATAAGTATTTCTTTGAAATTTAGACATTGCTTGAGAATCACTTTGATACTTGGGCATATAAAATGAGTAAAGTGGATAGAGTTTTAAAAATCAAAGATGTGGTTGCCATTAAGAAAACACTTTAGAATAAATGTTTGCAGGTATGCAATTTCTATACCCAAATTCTGTTCGTAAAGCCAAGTTGTGGATAATAAAAGGGCCCCTCTATTACACAAGATGCCATACATTGAAATTCTACATTTCTTAGAGGGAGTCAAAATGCTACATATGCCACATACTGTCTACACTGGATTTGAGTTTCTGAAAAGGATTAAAAATCCATGTTCAAAGTTAATATTTTGTTAGTCATTCACCTCCCTGGTAAATGGAATTCTGGTATCTTTTATTCGTGAGGTTTGCTAAAGGAAGTGATCTAGAATAATAATAAGATTTTTCACAGGGTATATTTATGCCAGTAGAGAGAATATGTGTTTGTATATATGTATGTGTGTGGGCAAACATACACATTACACAAACACATGCACAAAATATCTACAGCAGTATATAAATACGTACATGTACACTCAGATACACTGAAACACACATGTTTTTTGGTGTCAAATTACCCAGCTCTGCTCCCATCCTATTTTGATTTTGCTTGCTATTGGATGAGCTAAGCATAGAGATCTTACAATTCTAGACTAGAAAATAGTTTTTGCTGATCCTGAATTTTTATTTCACCTACAATTTCCTTGCTGGTGATGGTTTTCTTTCTCTTGCACAAATGGTAGGTTATATTTTAAAACACATTGTTTAAAAATGGACCCTGGTGGAGAACTGTGAGTGCCTTGGTGGTAGGTATGGTGTGATAACACACATCTGAAGAGATGTGATCCTGTACCTCTGAATCATGTACAATATTGTAAACCAGTGTTATTGTAAACAAAAATTTAATAAAAACACTCTAAATAGGGTAAATTTTAACAACCCTCTTTGTTAAAAATTAAATAGGAATTCAATCAGTAAATATTTAAGAAAAAGAAAACTCTGCTTTTACTATACAGTGAAGAGGTCTTTTAAGATTAGTCGAGAATAGTTATTTCATTCTTAATAATGTCCTAGTGAGTGTATAATAGTGTTACCTAATTACTGATAATAGGTAAGAACTGCATGGCAAACAAGAAGCAATTTGAAATAGCTACAAGTCTTCATTATTCTGAATTTGCTATTTATAAGGATAGTTGTGGTGGGAGTGGGGAACCTTTAATAATTTAATTTTTTTTCAAACTTCAGAGCTTAAGTTAATGTAAACGATGTGACGATCTGAGCTCAGAACTCAAAGACAAATTGGTTTTAGTAAATGGGCAATTTTTATGGCCTTTTTGAGCTACTCAAAAATATTTCTTGGCTTAAAACAATGGTGGTTTTAACCTGTCTTGCTGCTGCTGCTCGTAGTTCTCAAAATTTAATGTAAAACCCTTTAGCTCAATGATAGTATTATTATTATTTTTTTACTTCTTGAGATACTTGTGTTCTGTTGTTTTAATTATAGCTTTTGAAGAACTTGAAAAAGCTTTGAGTACAGCTCAAAAAACAGAAGAAGCACGGAGAAAAATGAAGGCAGAAATGGATGAAAAAGTAAAAGCTCTTGAGAAAAGTGAGGAGGAGCGCCACAGTCTTCAACAGGAATTAAATCGGGTGAAGCAGGAAGTTGCTGATGTAATGAAAGTAAGACTAAGTCTAGATTGAAATAGAATATAGCAATTTTGAAATTTAAGTTTTATGCCTTTCTTTGTCTAAAGAAAAATCTTTTGTTTGTGTAAAAAAGAGTTAATGTGCATTTTAGACCTTGACTATTTTTTGATATTCACAATACCAAGAAACAGTAGTTTGATAAAGAAATGATTATGTCTTTTTAGATATCCTCCCCAGAGGTCATCCCTGCCTGTAGAGTGATTTCTCTGTCACATGTTATAATATTCTCTAATATTCTCAACATAAAAATAGCACTATATACATACTCTTCTATACTTTGATTTTTCACTTAATAAGTGATTTAATCACTTTTATTGATATATCAGTTTTCATTTTTTACTATTGCAAGTTATGAATATCCTTTTTATATTTGCTCACATGTAAGTTTGTTTCAAATAGGTTTAGAGAAATGGAATATTATTCAGGCAACAATTACACTTTTAAATTTTGCGTAGTTGCTACAAGCTCTGTGAATGACAATTTATTGTCTCACAAACCATGCATTAAGTTATTTTTCTCCTTTTACAAAGATGGTGTTATCTAATTTTGTTCTTTCAAGCTCATAACTTAAAAAAAAAAAAGATATTGAAGTTTTAATGTGCATGTCTCTCACCAGTATGCTAAACATATTTCTGTATGTTTGCAAGGAATTTATAGGTTTGTCTTTGAGTTACTCTGTCAGATCATTTATTCATTTTCTTATTGAACTATTGATCATTTTTCTTACTGCTTTCTAGGAACTCTTTACTTACTATAGAAGTTAGTCCTTTGCATATAAGGTACTTTTATCCAAATAATGTTCTCACTTTATTTGTTTTATATTCTATTCTTTTGGCCAAGCAAAATCTTTAAGTTCTCTCTATGTTTTGTTCTGCTTTAAAAACACATTCTTAATTGAGAACATTAAAATATTCTGTTCTCTTATTTTTATGCTTTTACTTTTTTTTTTTTTTTAAGATTTATTTATTTGTTCATACAGAACTGGGGTTCAG